GGTGAGTCCGCTCGACCCCGCGCTCGCCGGACCTCCCGCGGGGCTTGCCCGCCCTCAGGGAAAACGGGAGGGAGGTTGTCGCCGGAGGGCAGTCGGAGTAGAGCCTCGGTCGGCGTGTAAATAAGCGAATGCAAATGGTAGTCTTTGTGCTTCCGAAACGTGGCCTGTTAGATACAGGCATATCACGAATATTGGCGGGGCGTCATCATTTAGCCTCGAAAGTCTTACTTTCAGTTGGCTTTAGAGTCAATCCTAAACTGGCACGCCGTTAGTATTAGAGAATATAATGTAACTTTCGTCCGCAACGCCTGCAGCGCGGTGGCAATTGCCCACATTCGGTCATTATTTCGGTGAACATTTTATTATGTGCGAATATGAGAAGAGTAGATGCTTGTCCTAAAGATTTTACAGTCGTGTTTGAAACGCATGTAACCAGTAAAAGCAACGAATACTAAGTTAGAAGACGATACAGAAAGGCCTTGCGGTAATTAGCGAGGTGAACGTTTAGAAAGATGGACGCCCAAAGCAGAGGCACAAGCACGAGGCACCAGGAGACTGCCGAGTTTGGAATGACACATTAAGACAGAATGGGCTGAAGACACCATCGCACGGTGCACTGTGTGGAGTGCTGTAAGACCAGAGAGACACAGAACTATCCTTTTAAAATTCGTTAAATATCAAACAGGAAGGTGTCCGTTTGGATTTAGTGAGATGTAGGTTAGAGTGGTCACTTGGACAAAGTTACGAGTGGAGAGGTGGAGAAGGAAACCATACTGGAGTGAGCTGAATAAGTAGGGGAGAAGAGGATATTCATTCATTAATCCAGAAATAAAATTCCTGTTGATACTTTAGTAGACAGCTGTTGGGGAGTTTTGGGCTGTGTAAGAGCATGAGAGATGAGGTGGCAGTGAGCAGAGGAGTCAAGGGAGGCTTTTTTTGTTTTTGAGAAACAGCCTCACTATGAAGTTCAGGCTTGCACTGAACTCAGTATAGCCTGAAATTCCCGGTGATCCTCCTGCCTCAGTCTTCCGAGTGCTGGGATTACAGGTAGGGAAGATTTTTTAGATTGAAAGATATTAGGGCATATTTACGTGCATGATACCGGTGAGTCTAACCAAAGTAGCCAAATCTTTAAGGAGGGAATTACAGTAGGTGACCAGGGGTTTGGTAGACGATGATAGCAATGACAAATGAGAAAGTGCTTGGGAACACTTAAAGGCCAAAATATGGCGGTTGCTGGAAGAATGCTGAGCAGCTCATTAAAGAGATAATTTGGAGACATCAGTAAAAATTAGTCATAATTAGATATAGTTGGTAAAAGAAAAGGAATAAATTTAGATAGAAATGGGATTAAATAATGTTGCCCTTCTGTGAACTGTAAATAGGAAAAACAAGTTTGGGAAAAGTTTAGTTTTTGTATTTGTTGAATGTGAGTTGCCTGTGACCCTGTGGATATATCCCATAGGCTCTGGAGTTCAGAGAATTGTGGAATGTAAATAGATACTTGTTATTTTGGCTGTTTGAAGTAGAGAGAGAGAGAGTGTGTGTAATGTGAAAAGAAAGCCACTCCAACCTCTAGGAGTAGGAGAGACACACTTCACAAAGCCAATAGAAAGAAGGCCAGGGCTGCTTTTGTTGGTAGCTCACAGCCTCTGTACTTGCTTTCCCACTTCCTCCAGTATTCTCAGTTCTCTCTGACTCTCTTCTTTACCTCTGTCACATCTGTAGTTGTGACTTGAAGTCAGCTTTCCTGGATCACCCTATTTAAAATTGTAAGGAACTACATACATACATACACATGCCCACACCCTTATTTATTTGGTTACTGGGGATCGAACTCGGGCCCTTACACTTGCGAGGCAGGCGGCAGAACCACTGAGCCAATTCTCTGGCCCCAATTACACTCTTATTTCTCCTCATAGCACCACCACTATGTAGCTTACTGTTGATTTTATTCCAGATAAACCAGCCCCTCATTAGGTTGGAAACTACCAGGGCAGAAATTCTTGTCCGTTTGTTTTACTACATGAAATAGTCAGTATCTAGCTATGTTCCTGAACATAGACATTTGGTACTCTTGCTGTAATTTTTGTCTAGTGTCTAAACTTTTTGATTATTTACCTTTTGATTATTGTCGTCTGTCTAAACCTGTTAAAGTGCTACTAATTTGCTACCTCATTGAGCATATCTTTTCTATATTTCAGCCAGCAGTATCTGTTGGAAATGTTGGCCAACTTGCAATAGATCTGATTATTTCTACACTGAACATGTCTAAGATTGGTTACTTCTATACTGATTGTCTGGTGCCAATGGTTGGGAACAATCCATATGCAACAGCAGAAGAAAATTCAGCAGAACTCAGTATAAATGCTGAAGGTATGTTTTTGGCAAGTTTTATCCTACTACAAAGTAGAGTTCTTTTAAATCAGGAATAGTCTCTAAGCCTGGCACCATTATGCACACATATAATCCAGCTACTCAGTAGGATGAAGCAGAAGGATCACTTGAACCTATAGTAGTTCAAGTCCTGCCTGAACAATATAGGAGACCCTGTCCTCAAAACTGGAAGGAATCTATGAGTCTTATTTTGTTACAAGCATTTAGTTAGTGCCAGCTCTGTGTAGAGTTCACAACCCATCACACTGTCCTTTTTACACCCACAAGTCAGTTCTTAGGGCCTTCTAGTGGTAGCTCCTCGAGGGTTATGCATAGTTTGTACTTGTATCTGTGGATAGAATTCAAATTTTTTTTTTACATGCATCTGTCATTTTTTTTCTTTTATTCTGTTTCATTTTCCATTCTTACTGGCATATATAACCATCACTGGTACTACAGATAAAGGAAAAGAAAATTACACTAGGCTCAGGTGCTATGTATTTAACATGCTACTTCATCTAAGCACCTAGATATGCTGACATGTTATAGAATACCTAACAATGTGATAAAGGTAAGCCTCAGAGAGATTGAGTTGCTTGGTGCCATTAGTAGGTATAAGCTTTTTCTATACTGTAGAAAGCCGTGATTCCTCCATGGATTATCAGGCTTGGTTAATCATTGCATAGTTATGTTGCCCTGACCTCTGTCTGGGTATATGGAATGGTCCCAGGTGAGTAGGGAAAAGCTTCACTGACAGGAAGGAAGCCCAGAAGTATCTTGTTCCTTCTCAGGGGCTCCCTGTTGTGTCTCCTTTCATCAACTGTTTGGTTTAAGGTCAAGTCCAGGACTGTTAAAAGAGCATGGAAGGCCATTGGTGGATGAGAGCCACATGAAGCATTGTGGCTTTGTCAGTTTTATTAGCCATGTCATGGTTCTTAGCTTGCATAATGAATGCACTTTTGAGAAATAACCTTATTACTGAAATTTCTGAAGGAAAGATGGCTTTGTTAACATAAGACTAGCCTTAAAAGCCCACAAATGATAGAACTAGGATTCACACAGTTCTAGTGAGAACAGCTGTCACTTATTGCATATTTACTGTGGCCTAAATGCTGTGTAGTTTTATTTATTCAAACAAACACATTGAATTCTCACAGTTATTCTATAAGGTGGATTTCCTCCCACTTCTGGGATTCAGACCCAGGGCTTTGCGTGTGTTAGGCAAGCTCCCTACCATGGAGCTGCATCTTTTTTTTTTTTTTTTTTTTTTTTTTTTTGTACTGGGGATCAAACTTGGGTCCTTGCGCTTGCAAGGCAGGTGCTGGAACCACTGAGCTAAATCCCCATCCCATGAAACTGCTCCTTTATAGATGAAGAAACCATGGCACGAAGAAGTTCAGTTGTTCAAGGTTATGTGAGTGATAATTGGTGTGACTGAGATTCTAGTCAAGGCAGTCTAGTCCCAGAGACCTGCCTTTCACCTCACCCGAGAAGACCCAAGTGGGCATAGTGGTGCACACTTGTAATCTCAGCACTCTGGGAGGATGAGGCAGGAAAATCACGTTTGAGCCCAGCCTAGGTGATATGGTGACTTAGTGAGACCCTGTCTCAAGATTTTAAAGGAGTGGGAATGTAGCTCAGTGTGAAGACTCTGGGTTCAGTCCCCAGTAACACACACACACACAAACACACACACACACACACACACACACACACACACACAAAAGATCCATTGGCTTTCCTTTCACAAACTGGCAGTGGGTCAAATGTCTGGGTGCAATTTACCCCGCTTCATTTTTTTTTTAAGCCAAAGTATTTTAAAACATAGACTTCATGAAATTCCATCTCCTAACATACAAGTATGCATTTCTTAAAAGATAAAGAGCATTTTGTTACATAACTAAAATGACATTATCACTGTTAACAAAATCAGTAATTTTCTAATGTTTTCCTATACCTTCTCTATGTTCATGTTGACCCAGTTTACCTCTAAATGTCACTTAAAGTTGGTTTCTCTAAACTAGGGCCCACAGTACAGGCCAGGCCTGTTGCCCTCTAGAATGTCTCCCCTCTGCATTTGTCTATTTCCTTGTGCTCTTACTTGCTTTGTTCCTCCAGCCCTTAAATTTTCTGAAACTGCAGTTAGGTCTCAAGACTTGATAGGAAGTAAAATTGCTTTCATATTGTGTCCCTTCAGAAGAAACTACTAGGAAACAGGATCCTAACGACAAAAGTCAGTCACATGATACACTGATGGAGAATATTAGAGTTGCTGTAGTATGTGTTGTTTTAAACCCTAGCCCGCACACCCATACAGACACATACTTTCCCCACACAGATATGTTGGATTGGACTATATGTATGTGTCAAGGGTAGATGAGAGGCCTGAGTGGCCTGTTCCTTAGTCCCTTTTCCCTAATTTCTAAGCTTTCTGCTTTGATCCTTTTGACCTAAGTGTACCTGGTGTTCACTAGACTTGATGAGGTGTGGTATAACACCATCACACTAGCCAGGAGAAAATACCTTGTTACAGAAACAAGAGAGACCTTGTGTTAGCTTTCCATTACTGTGACACAATACCTGAGATAGATCAGCTTGAAGGTGGAAAGTTCTGTTTTGCCTTATGTTTCAGAGCTTTCAGTCCATGGTCCCTTGGCATTACATCATAGGAGGGGAGCACATGGTAGGGTAGCAACACTCAGCTCATGATAGCCAGGGAATAGAGAGAAGGGCTCTATGTACCCTCCAAGGCACACCCTGCAGCTGCTTACTCCAGCTAGACCCTCCCATCAGTGCCACTGAGGACATCCCTTCAGCACCAGAAACTGTTGGACATTTCAGATCCAAACTGTAACAGACCTAACCCACCACAGGATTTCCCCAGACTAAGGTGATCTGTACTCTTTACAGTAACGAAAGCTTAGTCCTGCCTGGTCCTGTGTTCTTGGCTGATGTGAGAGGTGAGGTTGGGAGGGGGCCTTACACATCGCTAAGTGGGCCCCTGTGGAACCTGGTGAAAGTGTGAACCCTGTTTCCTAAAACTGCATATACCTTGATTCACAGAAAATTTTATACTAATTCAGGTCTTTGAGAAGCTCTTAGGAACGCAAATGTACTTAGTCCAGGAATTCTCTTACATGGCTAACATTCTCCTATATTTTAGTCTATTCTGTTAATTCCAATGAGTTTCTGTCTCAGAAGAGAAGAGGGAAGAATATCAGCAAGTGAAAAGTTTACCTTTCTTAAGGATAATTTTATTTGTCATAACATCAGCAGTTTCCAAGGGAATACTTCTTTGGTTTTACAATAAGGTCAGAAGAAAAATTTTTTTTAAATTTAAGAGCTACAGCATGCTGCGCTGCCCATGACCCTGAACTTCAGGGCTCCAGCAGTCCTCTTGCCTTGGCTTCTGCACACCACACCATGACTGACAAAGGATAATTTTTGGTATTTTCTTACAGTTAACTTTTCAAAAATGAATATATGCTGTAGAACAAACCCAACTGGCACATTTTAAGTTACTTCTCAAGTGTTTTAAGCATTTGACAACATTGTGCTTACGTTCTGTATTTTACTTACTGAAAATATATAGATAGAAATATTATAATTTATATTTTATCATAATTTGAAAAAGTCATTAATTTTAACTGTCCTGTGATTTCATTTTCTTCTTGTCTTTGTAGTATATTCATTGCCTTCAAGAAAATTAGTGGCTCTTCAGTTAAGATCTATTTTTATTAAGGTTAGTGTCTCATATTAACCTTTTTGAGCTTCTTAAGGTATAATATCACTAGAAAAACTAAGTACTATTAGATTTTTTTTTGGGGGGGGGTACCAGGGTTTGAACTTGGGCCCTTGTGCTTGTGAGGCAGAACCACTGAGGCGGAACCACTGAGCCAAAGCCCCAGCCCTAGATTTAAAAGTCATTTCTGCTATGTTGTATGTACAGTTAAGAAAGCTCTCATTCAATAGAAAATAATTTCATTTCAGGTGTGTTACCATGGTTTCATGGTTATATAAAAAGTACTACTTATAGGGCCCGGAATTTGGCTCAGCGGTTCGGTGGCCTGCCTTGCAAGGGCAAGGACCCGAGTTCAATCCCCGGTACCAAAAACAAAGAAACAAAAAAGTACGACTTACAACTCAGGTCTGATATATCCTTAATTCAGGTAATACTGGTGAAAAAAATTAGGTACATAAGTAGCATAGATTTGTTGCATTTGTATTATTTTCAGCTGGGGATCTACGTGCATCAGGGTATGTTCTGAGTCCAGCCTCGTTCCTCCTGCCACCGCATGTACGACCACTCAGTTCACACCCGCTCACACCCCTCTCCCTGCTCTTACTTTCCCCCTTCAGTGACCTTTTTAAAGCACATCAGGTCACATCGCTGCTGTCTTTCACATCCTGTACGGGCTTCCCAGCTCACTCTGAATCTACAGCCCTGCATAGGGGCCTGCATGGCTCCACATCTGTTCTGTGCTGTGCTGTGCTGTAGCCGCCCGCTGGGGCATTTTTGTGGTACTGGAGGTTAAACCATGGCCTGGGACACTATGCAAGTTGCTGTACCACTGAGCTATATCCCTGGCCCTTTTTATTTTTATTTATTTTGCGATTTTGCTGAGTTGCCTAGGCTGGCCATTTTAACATTGTGCCACATGGTTTTGTGGTTCTCTCCTAATGTTAGCTTAAAACTGAAGATAGGCAAGTCACATACTTCCAGATTTTGGTAGATGAAATAAAGAATGTTTTTTTAAATTGCAAAGATTTATTGGGCATTGATTCTTCACACTGATGTTACTCTAAGCACTTCCTATGAATTATTCTGTTTCCTCCTTGCAACAAACCTATGAATCAAGTACTGACATCCTCGCTTTTCAAGTGAGAATACTGGAGCCTAGTAACCCAGAAAGGTCAGGCAGTTTGCCGGGGACATGCAGTAGGGTCTGTACGCATTGTGGCCAGGAAGGATCCCAGCCTAGTGGCTGACTCCAGAGACTGTCTCTTAATCTCCAGAGTGTACTGCTCTCTCATTTTTAAAAGGTTGCCATTTTTACCTGCATTTTAAGTTTTAATATTTATTTTATAACTGAGAAAAAATTTTAAGTCATCCCCTCCCCCATTTATAATCTCCGTCCCAGATTCACCAGCTGTTAACATCTGGTCACACATGCTTAACCTCTTGTGAGTGTGAACACAGTTTCTTTCTGCCAAAGAGTCCAGAAAGTAGGTTCCTGACTGATACCGCATCCCTCAGTAGATTGGCCCTCAGCTTCTGAGGTCAAGGCTGGGGCACAGCTCAGTGTGCAGCACTCGCCTAGCATGTGTGAGGCCCTGGCTTCCATCCCAGCACTGCCAAAAGACAACAAAAAGTAGTCAAGAACAAGGAACTGGGCTCAGTGGCGCACACCTATAATCCCAGTGCTCCAGAGGCTAGAGTTTGAGGCCAGCTGGACTACAAAGCGAAACCCTGTCTCAAAAAACAAACAGGGCTGGGGATTTAGTTGAGCAGTATAGTCTCTGCCTGGCAAGCGCAAGGTCCTGAGTTCGAACCCCAGTACTAAAAACAAAAGAACAAGGACATCTTCCTTCGCAACCCCGTCATCATCACCAAGCCCCAGGAAATCGGCATCAAATGACTTACTCAGAGGTCTCATCCTGTGTATTCAAACACCCTGGTTTCCCCACAGTGCCCTTCAGCACTGAACCATGCAGGGTGTGCAAGTTGCATCTGGTTGGTGCATCTTTGTAGTTGCTGCCCCACGTGTGCTACTTGCCCTGCTCCTCTTTCTGCTCCTTGTGGTCCTGATCCCTTTGGAGGGGAGGCCAAATGTTCTGAATCCTGCTTTCCTCACAATCAGATTCCAGTCCACAGTCTCTGATGAGCGCCTCACAGATGACCATGTGGGGTTTTTGCCCCAGTGCTGGGGATTGAACCTGGAGCCCTGCTAGGCAAGCACTCTGCCAGTGAGTTAGGTCCCTGTCCTTTTGACACAGGGTCTCACTAAACTTTCAAAACTGGACCTGCTTCAGGCTCCTCCTGCCTTAGACTCCCAACTGGGTGCATCACAAGCATGTGTTCCACCCCCAGCTCCAGCGGTGATTAAGCCGCCGTAGATTTCTTAAACTGGGGCTGGGCTTGTTGCTCAGTGGTAGAGTTCTAGCCTGGCACTCTTGGGGCCCTCTGTTCAATCTCCAGCACTGCACACAAAATTAAATAATAATAGATTACTTAGAAAAATGCTTTTTCTTAGAATAGAAGTTTTTAACATCTAGATTCCTCACAGTTGATTTATTTCATAATTGTAAAGCTGTACTACATAAATGCTCTTCATCTTTCACTGGTAAATCAATGAGTGGATCTGACAGTAGTAATATGTGTACCATCTATAGATAACTGTTATCACAAAATTTATGAAATATTACGTACACTACTATACCCTAAGATCTCACTGTTACATGTTCTTTTTATTCTCTCAATGGCAAAGTATAAATCCAGCTCGTTCTGTGAAAAGCTCCTCTCCTGGGTAAAAAGTAGCAGCTTTGCCAAAGTTATTGTTCTTTCGAGCAGTCACTCTTACCAACGAAACGACCTACAGCTTCGCAGGTACGTGCATGCCTTAGTTAGGGTGCAATGGATAGCTCACTATTGAAAAGTTAAATTTAAAGCGCCATAGGTACCCTTGCCTGTCCACTTGGAAAGAGGAAGGTAAGAGGAGATGAAAAGCACACAGGGGTCCTTTGATTCCTGTGATGTTAGTACAGCTGGACAGAGAAGATCTGGGTCAGGAAAGTGGGTGTTGGAACTGTGCTTTTAGGGTTTGATGTGGTGTGGGCAACGTCACAGCTCATCGGATTAAGACAGAGGAGAAAGTAAGACCCCAAATGTATGTTACTAGTGATCAAAGCCAGGGCCTTGTGCCTCTAGGCAAGGGCTGAACTAGTGAGTGCACCTCTAGCCGCATCAGTTGATAACTTTTGAAAGATTAAATTGGTCCTAAATCTTTATTTCCAGATATGCAATCATTTATATTTGTGGGAATCCAGTTGTCTTCAGGAAAGCACCCAAGCAGGTCATAGTGAATTCTTAAATAGAAGACAAAGTGTCTCCGGAATAGAAATACAAAGTTTTGTGTTTTATTATCACATGAAATCGAAAAAGTACTAGTGGGAGATTCTTACACTGTTGGACCTCTAGTTCGTGTAGATCATTACGTACCCACTTGTCAGATCAGGATGAAAACACGTCAGCTCACCATAGTTGCCTTTCAGAACGAGCGCAGAGGCCCCTCCTGTGGACCGTAGGGCAGAGCTGGGGACACAGATCTATCTTCACGTTGGCCCTGCCCTGCTGCATGTCTCCCACTCTGCTCTCTCCTGAGCGTAAGCAGCAGGCCAGCGCGACATGTGCTGCACGTTCTTCTTCCTAGTCTTCTGAAACTTGTATTTTTACCTTCTGCAGCAGATTATATGGAGACCAAGTTAAAAACCTAATTATTGCCTTCGTGTTTGTATTTGTGAATTTTTGGAAATATAATTAATTATATGATTGTTTCTAGCACTCCCTTTCGGTACCTGCTTACCCCTTGTATGCAAAAGAGTGTTCGGAATAAAATAAAGAGCCTCAACTGGCAAGAAATGGAAAAAACTCCATGTATTCCTGAAATGAGTGATTCTGACTACTGTGTCCGGATTCCAGGAGGAGGGATCACAAGAGCACTCTACAAAGAGAGGTGAGTTTGTCTGCCGCTTGTCTGTTTCCCACCTTAATTGTAAAATGACCTTAGCTGGCTGTGATTGTACACAGCTGTAGTCCTGTCGAGACAGGAAGCTCACAAGGGCAGGCCCAGCCAGGGCAGCTTAACAATTTGAAGAGACCCTATCTCAAAATTTTATAAAAAGGGGGCCGCTGATACGGCTTAGTGCAAAGGCCCTAGATACAGTCCTCAATACCACAAAAATAAAGATCAGATAAATTTTTGAAAATTAAATTGTGGGCACAGTGGCTCCTTCCTGTATTCCTAGCGCTCAGGAGGCTGTGCCAGGAGGATCAGTTGAGCTCAGGGGTTTGAGACCAGCCTGAAGGACACAGGCAAGTTGCCATAGGTTCCACAACTTTGTGGTCATCCTGAGTAGAAATTGTGCCCATTAAGTAACTACACTTGATTTCTACAAATTGCCTCGTAATGTTCCCACTTTCAATTTTGATTTTACTAATTTGAGTCTTTTTTTCTCGGGTTCTTAGTGAAATTATAAAATTTTATCCCTTCTGTTGCTCTTAACACAGAACCAATTTTGAGTTCACTGATGATTCTCTAGTATTTTCTGTTCTGTTTTACTTACCTCCACTCTATTCCTATATTAGTTTCTTCTTCCTGTAGCTTTGTGTTTACCTTGCTCTTCCCCCCAGGTGTAACTGGAGCCCTGGAGGGCCGCAGCACCGCCATAGTGCATGTGGTTAGGCAGTTAGGAGGTGGGTTTCTCTGAGCTTTGGGACTTGGGGAGCTCTGTGCCACCATCGCAGCCCTGAGGTCTTTGCACACCAGGCGTGGACAGCATGAGGGATGCTCGCAGCTCCTGCCTTCTGAGCACTGGAGACCGAGACAGGCTGGTGATGTAGCCCGATTCCCGCTCAGATTTCTGAAAGCCCTGGCTGGACTGCACTTCTCCACCTCACCTTCATCTGTGTGGCTGCCCGTCACACTCTCGAGTCTGGCTTATGCCTTCTCATAGTTCTCATTTGTAGGGTGTTAGGAATCGTTTTTGCTGTGTGGGCAAACAAGAAACTTTGTGCGCTGGTTTATCACCCCTCACCATTGGCTTGAGGAGGACATTGATAGTTACGAGATGTTTTGGGGCTCAGGAGGCCTGGGTTGAGGTCCACTTTTGCCATGTAACAGATGCAACACTTTTAGCACGTTCTCTGAGCCTGTTACCTCACCTGACAGCTCAAGCTCGAGAGAATCTCCTGTAAATCATCACGGGTTAAGCACCTCGTCTTTACTGCCTCCCTTCAGCCTCACAGCAGCACTTGAGGTAGTTCTCTTGTTGTCCTTTTTACAGACCAGGGACCCTAGAGCCCTGACAGAGTCACTAGGAGAGCCCCTCTGGCAAGAGCTAGAGTTTGAGTCCTTGTTTCATTATTCCAAATGGATTTCTTCATAAAGTGGAAATCATGATGGTTTCCTCAAGGGTCGTTGTGAGGATTGGATTGCCAAATGTCTAGACAGCGCTTGGCACATAGTAAGGGGATCCATAAGAAGTAAGTGTTGTCTCTTAACATTTCCACTCTCGTCGTGTTCTCTTTACTGCCTCTTTTGTTTGTTTGTTGAGACAGCCTCTTCCTGTGTCATTTGGGCTGGCCTCGAACTCCCAGCAGTCCTGCCGCAGCTTCCCGAATGCTGGGAATACAGGCCTGTACTGTGTCTGGCTTCATTTACTGCTTTAGATAATTAGTGTCAAGGGTCTTAACTTCCTTTTAGTCACTCTACTATGGTGCTTCTGAAAATCAGTCTTCTAAATGAGGCTTTGAGAGTGGATCAGAACCAAATCTTATTTTGCCAGGTTTTCACATGGTCTGAGACTTACATGTTCCCCATGTGGGTGTTCATGGCTTCTGCCCGCCCCGAGGAGAAGCACGTATGTGCCACAGTGGAGAGAAGTGAATGCTCTTAGGACATGGTGGCTTCTCCTTGCCCAAGCCAACAGGCCGTCTCACCTGTAAAAACCAACACACTAGGCTCAGCGTGTTCTGGCAGTGGAAGAATACTGAGTTGCTCCTTCTGTTTCTTGCAGCTGTTCTAAAGAAATCCAAATGGCGGTTCTGCTGAAGTTTGTTTCCGAAGGGGACAACGTCCCTGATGCTTTGGGTCTCGTTGAGTATCTCAACGAGTGGCTGCAGATGATCAAACCGCAGGTAAGTTTTACCGTAGCAGGTGCCCTGCTGTGATTCCTGTTCATTAGCTTGGGTTTTAGGTACTCTGTGGGCAAGTGGGTGAAAGTTCTTGTTAGATACAGACGTCTCTCCCTGAAATGTAGTTTAAGCTGAACTGTTTCCGACAGAAGAGACAGTTAACTAATCTGTTTTACAGTTGTGTCATTAAGGATGATTTTCCAGAAAGGAAAATCCCGTTTGTTCATTGTGCTTGTTCTTGTTACATTGGCTATGCCCAGTGGATTCTGAGGAGCAAACAAGTCTTCTGGAGAACCCAGGATTGTTGTAGAGAAGTGAGGAAGGTGGCTGCGTGAGCGGTGCTGCCAGTGTCTCGTTCCTGAAGCAGTGGGCACTGCACACCTCACCCCGGGACGAGCTCGCCGGAGGATGGCACCTTGAGGCTGCTCCGTGGCGGCCTCTGTCTAAATCCTACTGTAGCCAGGGAAAGATATGGCTTGATTTTACTTCATAGAGTCCATCTGCATCCTTTCTGGCATATCTTTGTGATTTGAACTCAAAGAAATGTCTTCATTTGACATGACACAGAAAAGTGTTTCTTTCTCCTGATAATAAAACCTAGCTTCAAAGACAGATTTGATGGTAGAACTGAAAGACTGTTCTGTTCTTCATTTACAGAGTGACGACCCTGCACCGTCCACCTTGCTGTGGAAAATACCGAGTTCTTGGAAATTACTCTTTGGCAGTGGTCTTCCCCCTGCACTCTTTTGATCCATTTTCAGTTTTATATGTAGTGACGCAAGATACTACCAATACAACTGTTAAATATTGTACATAAAAATTTGTACTGTCTGAGAGTGTGATTAGGACATAGATACTTTTCACAGAAGACGTCAAAGAACAATGCATTAACAAAGGTCTTTTCCCCTGCCTTTCATCATTTACAACAAATGTAAAATTTGTACAATAAAATTTTATTTCCTATGTAATTTTGTCTGATACTTATCTTTTTTAACTCAGACTCTTATAAACTTATTTCTGCTGGAAGAAATTACCAGACTTAGTAGCATAAAAGAACACAAGTTAGCAGGGCTTGGTGGTGCGCACCTGTAATCCCAGCCCTCGGGAGGCTGAGGCAGGAGGATCACTGTGAGTTCGAGACCAGCCTGGGCTATGCAGTGACTTCCAGGTCAGTCTCAAAAAAACAACCACCACAAAACAAGCTGATTCTTAGCAGGGGTTGTAGAAATGAAAAGTGCTGATGGTCGCGGGCTGCTGGGCTGCAGGTGGCGGGGCTGTCCCCTGTGTCGCCTCCAGGGTCCACTTGCTCCGCTGCACCTCTCAGAGCTCCACCCAGCACTTGGCCCCTTCACCTCCAAGCCAGCTGCCCAGCGTCCTCCGATCTTTCCCCTTGCACTTGCAGGATCTTTGTGATTATCCTGCACTCAGCCCAGTAAGCCAGGGTAATTACTGCATCTCAAGTTCAGGAGAAAGGAGTTCGGTGTAGTTTGTCCTGTCCCGCTTGGCAGCCACCATCTGTGCTCCATCTGACACGCCTGTGGGCTGACTGGGATTTAGCCTGTGCCTGTGGCCTGTGTGTGAGAAGAGGGGACACCTCACTCAGTGGCACTCAGCAGAAGTGCTCTCACTGAGCCCTCCCCGATGCTGTCGCCCTGTTCTTGCCTTCTGGGTAAAGTATCCGCAAGATGGCAGACTAGGAAGGCCCGGCCCTCAGAATCCAGCAGAGGCACCAGCCTAACCATACAGGACCAGAAGACCAGATCCACTCGCAGCTCCCAGACTTGCTACCCTGCAGGGCAAGCAGTCCATCACCTTGCTCGCCCTCTCCCAAGCTGGTCCCTCAGCAGGGGAGCAGAGGGAGTGTGGGCCTGAGTCTGAGATTCCAGCCTCATGGTGCTGAAACGCCCATGAGCCCATGGCTCGAGGGAACGGGAGAGCAGAGAGCAGGGTGTGGAATGAGACGCAGGAGATGCTCCAGCCCGGTCGGCAGGAGGAGGAGCTGCCTGCCCTGCCCAGCCTTCGCCGCCTGCCCTGCGGTGGACCGAGGGGCCTGCCCGCGGAGAAGGCAGCTGCACCACTTTCCCGGACCAGATCTGGCCCCGAGACCCCTCACACACAGCAGGCGTGGCTCATGGAGAAGGCGAAGGTCCCATGTCTGCCGAGCAGTATGAGGCCCGCTCCTAGTGCAGTGACTGGTTTGTGTTTGCTGATGACCGACGCCGAGCAGCTTGAACGTCCTGTGGCCACTTGTACATCTTTACTTTTGGAGCGCCTTCCGTTCGGATCCCGTATCTAGGGACTTGGGGCTGCCAGGCATGTGTGCTGCCTCTCAGCTATGTCCCTCAGCCCTTTTCAGATTTTCGGGTCCAGTTTGAGAACAGCTGGGGCTTTGTGCCTAGAGCCAGCGGCATGAAATCCTAAACAACCACGGGACAGGAACAGTCCACAGGCTGGGAGCTTCCTGCCTGCGATTTCATTAGGAATTCAACTTGGTTGGGTCTAAATAATCAAAATTCCATCTTTAGTAATGTGTAATTCTTGGAGGATAAGCTCTTACCTAAGTAAGTCAAAACCAGAGATGAGCGTGGTAAGAAATCACTGAAACTTCTTTTTCATAGGAAAGCTAGGTTCTGATTTTCACTAGGTTTTACCACTTGGTCTTGACACGTGGAATTGTTTTCTAATTATAAAAGCCATGCATACTTATTGCACAACATTTAGAAAATACAAAAGAACATAAAAATATAAATGCATCCATATCATAATCCATCATGAATTTATAGTTAGAAAAGTATTAACCAGCTGTGATTCTATACACATTTTTTTCCAATATGGATATAAATGGATATGTACACTTTTTCTCCTCTCCGGGAAACATTTTACTTTATTTTTTTATTAGTATGTTTGCAGTTCATGCAGTTTACAGTTTTTTGGGAGTGGGTACATGTATGTGATCCATCTTGAGGCTTTTTTTAAAACCCTTTTCCCCTTCCCTGTTTTCTAAATCTCTTTTCCCCATTTTCATTCTTGTTGATACTATTAATCTTGTTTATGATATATAATGTTTATATTCATTGGGGTTGCCAAGATGCCGTATGTGGCAATCTTTATTCTTTTTTTTTTTTTTGGCTTTTTGAGACAGGGTCTCACTATGTAGCTGAGACTGACCTGGAACTCACTGTGTAGCGCAGGCTGGTCTCACTCACAGTGATCCTCCTGCCTCAGCCTCCTGAGTACTGGAATTACAGGCGTGCACCACCATGCCAGGCCTTGGCATATCTTTATTCTAATTATTTCCCCGTCCCCTCTCACCCACATTCTCTTGGACTCCTTCCCATTTGCAAGAGATCCATCCCTTGTCCCTTTCTATTCTTTATTGTACTTCGTATTTTGCCTTACTCAAATGAGAGATATCATGTAGTATTTAAGCCTGTGTCTGATTTATTTCAGTGTTATATATTTCCACGTGCATTCATTTTCCTATAGATATCTCAACTTTTTCTTATAGTTGAGTAGTAATATTCCACTGTGTGTCAATACCATATTTCTTTTTTCTTTTTTTCTTTTTTTGGTACTGGGGATTAAACTCAGGACCTTGTGCTTTCGAGGCAAGAGGCAGAGCCACTGAGCTAAATCCCTAGCCCTATACCACATTTTCTTTATCCAGTCATCTGTTGATGGATATGCAGACTGTGTCCAGAATTTAATTATGAATCTGGCTGCCCTAAACACTGATTGGTATTGGAGGGCCAGGGATTTGGCTCAGTGGTTCTGCCACCTGCCTCACAAGCACAAGGGCCTGAGTTCGATATCTGGTACCAAAAAAAAAAAAAAATCACTAATATTAGTATTGCAGCCAGGTGTAGTAGCACATACCTATAATCCCAGCACTCAGGAGGCAGAGGCAGGAGGGTTGCCACAAGTTCAAGGCCAGCCTGGGCTACATAGTGAGACCCTGTTTCACACACATACACACAGGGTACCCACTGGTCACTATCGTATGATGCCTTGAGCTGTGAGGGGAAGACAGGAGGATGGCTGGGTCATATGGAATTTCTAAGTGTAGTTCTGTGAGGAATTTTCATACTGATTGTATTATTTCACATTCCCACCGACAATGTAGGAGTGTTCCTTTTTACTTCAGCCACACGAGCATTAATTTTTTAATTTCTTGAGGATTTCCACTCTTTCTGGAGTAAGATGGAATCTTGGCATTAATTTGTATTTCTGTAATGGCCAGGGGTGTTGAACATTTTTTCAAATATTTGTTGGCCATTTGCATTTCTTCCTTTGAGAAGTGTGTTCATTTGCCCATTTCTTGATTGGATCTGTTTTAGGTGGTCTACTTTTGGGGGGTTCCTTATATATTGTACATACTAATCCTGAGAAATAGTTGGCAAAATTTTTACCTCATTCTGTATGTTATTTCTTCACTATTGATTCCTTTGCTGTACAAATGCTTTTTAATTTGATGTAATCCTATTTGTTGATTCCTTCTGTCATTTCTTGTGCAGTTAGATTCTTTTTAGGAAATCCTTTCTTATGCCTAGGACTTCAGGTCTTGTTATCTTCCAGTACATTCAGTGTTTCTGTTCTAATGTTTAGATCTTTGATCTAGTAAGTATGGAGCTCAAGGTCCCGAGTTTGATCCCTGGTACCAAAAAAAAAAAAAAAAAAAAAAAAAAAAAAAAAAAAAAATGGGGCCAAGTTTAAATTTTTGGAAAACAAACTTTTTCCAGAAAAAAAAAAAAAAAAAAAAAAAAAAAAAAAAAAAAAAAAAAAAAGTATGGGTCCAGTTTCAATCTTCTGCAGATAGCCAGTTTTCCCGCACCATTTATTGAATAGGTTATCTTTCTTCCAATGCATACTTTTGGCCCCTTTGTTAAAGATCAAATAGCTCAATATGTCCATGAAACACCTCTGAGGGGTTGGGTGAATAGGCAACCTGTCTTCCGGACCCCTTTCTGCCTTAGACAGAAGCTATCTTTCTCTCAATAAATTTTTCCTACTCTTAAAAAAAAAATAGTTCAATGTGTCTGGGGATGTTTCTGTGTTTGTTTCACTGATCCATACGTCTTTTGTTTTGAGACAGGATCTCCCTATGCAGTTCCAGCTGACCTTGATCTCACTGTGTAGCCGAGGCTGCCCTCCAACTTGCAGGGACCCTCCTGCCTCCGTCTCCTAAGTGCTGGGATTACAGGTGTGCGCCACCATATTCAACCCTCATCTCATTCTCTGTGCCAGTACCATGCCATTTTATCATTTATTTCCCCTGTATCCACTCTGGGTAGTTTTGAGTAATACTTCTGAGAACTTCATGTGCATTTCCTCTGGAACTCATCTACTTTATCTTTTCTATACCGTTTGGTATTTGCTTTCCTCTCCATTTGTCCCCTCTTGATCTGCCTTAGGAGAGATGGGAGAATGTGGGGGTCTTCTCTTGCCTTGCTTCCCCATGTTTCTCTATGTACAGTAAAACCTTGGTGTGCAGCCATAATTCATTCTGGAAACATGCTTGTAATCCAAAGCACTGTTATATCAAAGCAAATTTCCCAGTAAGAAATAATAATGGAAAGATTATTTTTTCCACAATCTAAAAATATTCATACAAAAATGAATATAATACTATAATACAAAATAATTTAAAATATAAAAATCTGCACTGACCTTTGAAAACCTTCACGGCTGGTGTGGGGGAGACAAGAGTGGAGGGTTATTGTGCAGGAGACTTTTACTGTCACTAATGGAATCACTGCTGTATTGGCTCAATGGAATCTTTTTGTGCAACTTGAACAAGGAACCTGTCCAATGACACCTGTTTTTGCCTCCTTTTGAGGATTTCGTGGAAATGTATTTCATTGTCATTAAACAGATACCTTGCTCACACTACTATTGCCTTATTCAGGTGGT